ACACACTCCACGCCTCCATTCCCACAATATCGACACACACAGACCGCGCATCAAGGGTATGTCGTTCCATCACATCGTCGGTCACGACGTCTTCGGCAGAGGAAGCATTGTCCAGCCTTTAACAGGCGACCTCGATGCCCCTCTCCTCTTGTCGACATGTCGGGTCCAAACAGTCAGCCTGGGCTTAACTTTCCACAAGTGGCCAACCTCCGGCACGGCCGATCTCACCCAGGGCAGAGCTTCCCGCCTCTACACGCGAACCCGACCAACAAACCCTCGCCCGGCACCCATCACGCGTCTCCCTATCAACCTCATGCCTACACTCCGCAGCAGCCGCCTCAGGGCACATATCCCCAGCATATTTTCCATCAGACCCCGACGCCCGTCAATGGACACCTTGGCGGCGGCGCGCGCTCGTCTCAGAGCCATGTCCCCAATAACAACGCACCTGTCGGACGCCAGAGAGGACCTCCATCGCGCCAGCAGATGCCCACGCCGCCTTCCATGTACCTGACGCAAGCCATAGGTCAACAGCATGGCTTGGGACAGCAGCAGAGCCCCGCCCAGCAACAGGGCCTCGGTCAACCGCCCAGCTTGGGGCAGCACCAGGGGCTAGGACAGCAGCAGGCCCTCGGCCAGCAGCAAAGTCTTGGACAACAGCAAAGCATGAGGCAGCAACAGCAGAACCTGGGACCGCAACAAGGTCTAGGACAGGCGATGCAGCAAAACATGGGGCAGCAAAACATGGGCCAGCAGCAAAGCAATGGACCACAACATGGCCTTGGACAGCAGCCTCAAGGTCTGGGTCAGCAGTCTCAAGGGATCAACCAGCAGTCCAGCATGCAGCAACAGACAGGTCTCGGCCAACAGCAAGGCCTTGGTCAGCAGCAGAACTCTGTTCAGCAGCAGCACAATATGGGCCTTCAACAAAACCAAGGACAACAGCAGGGCATCGGGCGACAGCAGAGTATAGGCCAGCCACAAAGCATGGGGCCACAACCATCTATGGACCAACAGGAAGTGCAATCTCAGCCTCAGCAGATCGACCCGATCAACGCGCGCTCGTCGCATGCACAGCCATCCTCGTCTTTGCCTGAGCCTCAGCAGACGCAGGCCATGCGCATGTTTCAGGACAATATGCATCGTGCTGAAGAAGCGATGCAGCAGCAAAGTCTTCAACAGCAGCAACAGCAGCAAAAACAGCAGCAGCAGCAGCAGCAAGCACAGCAGCAGCAGCAAGCACAGCAGCAGCAGCAACAACAACAACAAGCACAGCAACAAGCACAGCAGCAAGCGCAGCAGCAAGCACAGCAGCAAGCACAGCAGCAAGCGCAGCAGCAAGCACAGCAGCAAGCGCAACAGCAAGCGCAGCAGCAAGCGCAACAGCAAGCGCAACAGCAAGCGCAACAGCAAGCACAGCAGCAGCAACAGCCGAAACCGAAGTCCCAATCGCGACAAAAGAGCAAACAGAAGCAAGCTACCCAGGCACAGGCACAGGCACAGGCACAGGCACAGGCACAGGCACAGGCACAGGCACAGGCACAGGCACAGGCACAGGCACAGGCCCCTCCGCCTCCGCCTCCGCCTCCGCCTGTCACCCAGCCAGGACCCTCGGTGCCCTCACTTGAGGCGCAGCATTCTGACGATGCCATCATGGTGGATGGGGACTCGGATGACGGCGATGGATCTGGCGTGCCAGACCATGTGCAAAATGCAATGCGCGCTGCAGGCATTATCTACCAGGCGCCGGAGCCCATGGGTGCCAGCATGTCACCCCCGCCCGAAGGAGGTAGCTACACGACCTTGGAGGCCATCCATAAAAGCGCCCTTGCCTACGCCACCTCGGTTGGGTATGCCATTGTCATTGGGCGGTCCAAGAAGACTGTGCCAGGCCTCAAGAAGGTGCTCTTCGTATGCGATCGAGCTGGTCTTCCTCCTAGTCGCGTGAGTCCGGAGGCACGGAAGCGCAAGACTTCGTCCCGCAAATGCGGCTGCCAATTTGGGTTCTTCGCCATTGAGCAGCGGACGCAGTGGACCATCCGATATCGTCCTGACCCCATTCACACCGAGCACAACCATGGTCCAAGCGAAAGCCCCCTTTTACACCCGGCAGCTCGAAAGCTGAATGCGACGATGGTGCATGCTGTCAAGAATTCTGAAAGAAAGCGGTGAGTTGACAACCGATTTCCAGAATTGCTCGTTCTGACTTGATGA